GTAAGCTGCTGGGAGAGAAGGCGCCTCTGAGGGGCAAAATGAACCCAGCACGCGAAAGGTGGGTTCAGGCAGAGGGCTTTGGTGCTGGAAGGAATTATTAGGTCCTGTGTGCTGCTGCGAGCCAGATCGTTGGTTCTGGTGAGACGTATTTTTACCACTCCTCCTGCTTTTACTGTTTGAGGGTTTCCTCCACGATCTGGTTTTACTCTGCGTTTGCTCACTGTTCTCCTTGTTGCTGTTGCACTCGGCAATGTCCTGGGCCATCATCTCGTCCTCGGTAATAACCGGCAGAGAATCTGTGATGTTAATCCGATGGAGCCTTCCATCTAGGTCCACTTCCACTATTTTCTGCGCCTGAGCGTATGTCAAAGTCTCCCTGGACGGAGAGAGCTGCAGTCTGTAGGGCGAGGGGGGCCGACACTGGCCAGACGATCCCCTGCCCCTTCCTCTCCCTCGGCCTCGGCCCCTACCCATGTTGAGTCTGCGATCAGCTGTGTCACATTCCCACCTCCTCACCTTCCGCATGGGAGTTAACACCAGCTCCCTGACAGATACAAGAGGAAGAAAAACATACTTAAAGCAATGATTCACGTCTATCTATTACGATTTACAGCTGCTGTTGTTTTGTCATTATGGGATTGTGTATATTATTTGTACTCCATGCCATATAATTAAGTTAATAAAAATCTTATATCAGGTGAAACCCTCAAGGATGTTCTTGGTAGTGTTATTGTGCTATTAAATCACCATTCACCACCCAATAATTGACTGGTTATTATAAAGTATAGTTGACTTGTTCAGATATCCAGTTCTCCCAGATGATCCTCATGCTTTAATTTGGGCAGCCCTCCCTCCCCTCATCCCAAAGCAGTACTATTACTTTCGTTTTACCTTCTTGCTGTTCCAAATATATTTATATTTTCCTGATGACAAGAGTAAAGAAGACAAAAAAGGAGTTAAAAAAAAAGCCCAAAACAGTGTTTAAACCCTTATAAACAATGATTTATGTAATGTTACCTTTAACCTAATAAATATAATTAACCAAAAATAAATTGGTTACAAAATTATGTTAAATGACAGCTTCTGTTATATTCAGTGTATCTGTAATGAATTTCTCTGATTAATCATAATCACTTCACTGCTGCCAATATGAAGAATCTTATTTTGCATTCTTGGTAAGATCTGTTAACTTTTTTTAAATCCTGGCCCTCTGCACTTACAATGTAAAAAGGGGGACCAACTCTGCTGTGGTGGTAATAAAAACACAGCATGTTACCTCAAGTACTCTTTCCGCACAAACACAACTACAGTAAGTTGTACTGCTTGCATGCATGCAGCTCAGCTGTTCCTCCATTGGTCCAATCAGGAGTCTGTAACGCTGCACATTTCTCCCGGGCCAATCAAACGCCAGTATCCTCTATTTTTTTTCCTTGTTGCTGTGCGTAGTTAGGTTGAAGAGCGCTAAATACCAACCCGAGTATCTAACATCAGTCAGCCATTTTGAGCGCACAACAGCAGAGACAACATTTGGACTGCAAGTTGATTAGCAGCCCAATTATACATGCCAACAGCAACCAGAAAGCAGGCGCACTGTATGCACCGTGCCTAAATGCATAAGTCAACTGCATGTATACATCAGATCACGACATGCAAATGTGCAACGTTTCGGGTTATTGCTTTGTACTCCAGACCCCTGCAAAAAAAGATTGTCTCTCGCCGATGTGATAACGTTACTCGGTCGGACAGGACACACACAGAAGTCGTGTAACAAAAACAAAAAAACCCGAACAGATTTTTCCTAAGCAACGCCGTTAAAGCTGAACACATCAGAATGGGTTTACCTTTTAAAGTCGTCCTCTGTAGTGCGAGTGCCAAACAGAACAACTGCACCAAGCTAAATGTCAGCTAGTGACAGACTACAACCAAGGCGGACATGCTAGCCGTTAGCTTAGCTAGCCGGTAATTTCAGGAGCGACAGCGTCATCTTCAGCACTCCGGTTCTCCGCCGTGACTCCGGTCAAACACACAAACTCGACCCGGTTTCATAGTTATGGTTTAAACCTTTCAAACGATGCTGTTTCACAACTTAGGGGCAGCAAAATTCCGAAGATATCAAATTAATGTTCCTTGGATGAGGCTAAATATTCAGCCAAGATGGCTTGAAAAATACGCCCCTTTGGAAAAAACCACCTCAGCCAATCAGAGGTCGCCGCTTCGCCTCGCACGCAACGCGCACCGATCTCTGATTGGCCAACGCGTTAAACCGAGTTCATCGAACTCAACGTGGAGCTCACAACAGAAAGAAGCGATGAGAAAAACAACAAGATATATATTGCGCGCCTTATGGCCTCGTCTTCATTTCCTATGGACCTTATATTGTAGGCTTACCTGTTATACACCTGCTATTGCTATGGAAACATGTTGTAAAGCTTGTAAATTGATCTAATATCCAAGTGTAATAACCACATAATAAAAATAAAATAATCACATTTTCATACAAATATCATTTACAATACAATTTAAGTTTGGAGTCCTGCTGATGGATTTTAGAAATACATCAATTCAATTCACAAGTAATATTTAATTTATTCAGTCAGCTGTTCAATTAGCTTTACATTCTGTAAAAGTTCAGCATTTCCCTTGTAAACAGTAGTTTAACAAAACAATCTGAGCTCAGAGTCGCCTTCTTGAGAGCTTTCAACCGTGTCACACAGTCTTCAACGACAGATAGAGTTTGCTCAGTTGACATACAGACTCGTTAGCTGTTGTGCCGCCATAGATTTAATCCACAGCATTTATGACTTTTCATCCATGTTGGCGTAAAAGTTGGGCATGAAAGTTAATTATTTCATGGAAACCTCCAACCTTGAGTTCATATTGTTTTGTCAAACTGCTGTTTCCAAAGGTCAAAAATGAACTTTAATGCTTATTGACATGCAAGCTCAGTAGCTGATTTGATTTAATCCACAATATTTGTAGGACTTCATGTTGTCCAAGTTTTGTATTGCCAAACTACTATTGGCATAACAGTCCTAACTTAAGGTCCACTTACTGTTCTTTTCTGGATCTTTCAATGAAAGAATGAACTTCCAAAGATGAACAGAGATGAGAAATCTTATAAGTGCTAGCAAGCTTGCATGTAAACACATCCATCTCCAAGCTGATGTTGACGATACTGCTGAGAGTTCTGGAAAAAGCTGAAAGATCTTTCTTGGTTTGTCTCTCTTTGTTTGTCTCATGCTAATGTGGCTCTATGTTTTACAAGTTTTTAATTTAAGGTGTAATAAAGAAACAATAATTAATCAAAATAATAATTACATAATTGCTTTGAAACAGCATTTAGACCATAGGGAGATAAAATGTACACAAAATATAAATTAATAAATGAAATGCAGTATTTCTGTGATCATTCACACTGATTCTTTATTCCATCAGCTGACAAAAATGACACCATTAGACTAAATGAGGCTAATTTTCAGATTTTCCTCAGTTCTGTTCGTAGTAGATTTGAAAGTAATTTTATGGGTTTGAACATCAGAGCCAACAATGATTTTTACTAAATTAAGTTCATCTGCTAGCAGGAGTCGATGCACTTACTTCAAATTACAGGATGATCATATGCCAGTGCTGAGACACAATAATTACCATTGCAGCAGGATTTTGTTGAATTCATTTATGTCTTATTACTGGACTGATACAGCTCAAACTGAGAAAGATTGATGAACTGATCACGGGTTGACTCAGTTCTTTAGGTCACTAGTTTCACCGCAGGAGCTTTAAAATGTCTGCTTAACAGAATTCAGTGACCAATTCAGTCCGCTGTCTCGCTATAGAAACGATTCCTGTTGCCTTGACTCTCAAATTGATTTATATGAAGTTTTTCAGGCATTGACTGGGCACAGGCTTCCAGTGTAACTTGAATTTATAACATAGTTTATAATCGATGACAAAATAGTTTACTTATTGTTATAAATTATATTGTTATATATTGGCTCTTGCTCTAAAATTATAGCTTCTAGAAGATTTTGTTTTACTATACAGCCTATTGGTTCAGAGGTTAATGGTAAAATACAAAAAATATGATGAATTCATTGGACTGAATGTGCTTGTTAGCACTCCTGTCAGTACGCTTGCTATTTTTTTTTTTGCATTGGAAAATGAAATAATTCATTAAAACCTATATTGTTATGTTGAAAGGACTCATCCAGAGTGTGAATCTGACAAAAAGGACTGCATCAAATATTGATTTTGGAGCAGCACAGGAGAAACAACTCCTGGCTCCCTGCTAGCTTTGAGCAGATTGGGAGTTTTTGTATGTGCCCTGGCTACAAAGAGAATATTCTTAGTTATACAACACTTTAATGAGCCTTCAACATCTTACCAAGGTCATTTTTGAGCTACAGACTCAGAAAGATAACATGTTTTAGGTTTTTTGTAACATTTGTATTATTCTAAAGGGCCTTCAGTAATTTCTATGACACATATTTTCTTTTTAAAATGTTAGTAAAGAGCGGAGAGTACTCTAATGCTACAAAATGTTGACGTTCAGGCTTGTTTACTTTCTTATACTGAGCACAAATATCTCCAGTGGAATCTAATACACACGTAACATTGATATGTGTACATATCTTTAATCTATACAAGGTATTCATGTGAATGTAGCTTCAACACTTACTTACACAATGACCTTTTCAAAATAAAGGTTTTAACTTTCTAGCTGTAAAATACAGTGTAGCTTAAAACATTCAACTTTGTTCACATGTAATGTAAATATCATAAAACCTGTGATACTTGGCTTGAATATAATACATGTAAACTGTTCTACAACACTATGATGTGACTCAGATGTATTTCTTATTTGTTTATATTGTTAATATATTCTTTAGAGTCATTTATAGTATAAATAACCACACTTGAAAATGGTGGAAGCTGGGTGTTTTTACTCCCCACCCCTTCAAAATTCTTCCACTTTCTCCACCCACAAAAAACTCCGTTGGCTCTCTTGACACATTTGAGTCTGAAAAACTTAACAGATCTCACATTCGAGCTCGTTGGGGTCTGTCCTGTCTGACGCGTCAATCCAGCAGTCATATCTTGGACTCTTATCAGGTAGTAAGAACATCCATCATATGTACTTTGCTGACTGACAGCTTCACTGTTTAATGTGCTGATTAGATTCACATTTTTGCATTTATATCAATACAGTTATTTATATATATATATATATATATATATATATATATATTTAGTATTATTTAAGTTTATCCATGTGATTTTCCTGATGCACAACCAACTGCTAACTGTCTTTTTTTTTATAACTTTTAGGATGCAAATCAGGAGAATCACAATGCTGTTTGGCTTCTTTGTATTGTCTGTTGGGTTTTTTCTGGACATGGGCGCGTGCACTGCAGGTAAGGAACTATTTTCTTATCCCAGGCTTGTACTTATAATACAAAATAAATAGATTATTCTAATATAACAAAACAGATATAGCCAGTCTTGTTGAAAGTTTGCATTGATGTAGAAGTTGGTCTGATTGAAAAATGTTGTTTTGTCAGTTTACTCTGTAATGTCTGACCCGGTCACTGCTTTTGTAATTCAGTGTGGTGGCAGCTTGCTTTTTTTCTCTGCCAAATTTCTCATGTTTTCACTGCTGGATTTGGTCGAAATTTCTCGGGCTGGACGAGACATAAATACATAAGCAGTCGGCTCGGATCAATATCAAAGTGTAGCACCACATCCTGTCCAACTCTTGTAGAAAAACAGAAAGGGAAGCAAGCCAGTTGACACTCTCACAAAAAAACGGTAATAAATCAACTGTATGGAGCAGACAAAAGCTCTGTGTTTCAGAGTGGCCAAAAAGTGACAGGGGCTTGAAGAGCTTGTATACGTGTCATCTTTTGAAAGGGAGGATCTGATGGTTGTCAGGATCACCCTGTGGTGATGGTTCCCCAAGGCCTTGGCCTGAATCAAGGCTTTTGATACTCTTTGACTGCCCTCCCATCTCACAGTGCCATGGCATTGAGACTTTTTGAATTAAAACACTGCGCTAAATAGATTGTGGTGTTCAATCATTCCAGATCTCTAGGATACCGGAAACCCGTTCTGAATAAAAGGTCAATACATGCAGCCCGAAATTCACCTCAGACATCTCTGCATGTCAGATTAAAGTCTAAAGATGGCCAATTGGCCACTTGTGCCCTCTAACCAGTGAAATTGTTCAGTTTTTTAAGACAAATGGCGCTTGTATATCTAAAACAGACAGCCTTGGCCACCTGTAGGGTGTGCCACAAATGAAACAAGATTTGTAAAAGGCAATATTTACATCATCTACAACGTAAGAACTAGGCAATACAAATCAAAATCATATTAACAAGTTACCTGCTTTGTAAGGGGTGCAGCTGTGCTTTGAGCTAAATGCTAACTTCAGAAAAGACAATTGATCACCAGAATCATCTGGATTCATCCCCTAGGAACCATGCATGTCTGTACAAAATGTAATCTTAATCCATCCAATAATTGTTGAGAAATCTTAGTCCAGACAAAAGTGATGGACCGACAAACAGACCAACATTGGCATAGAACAATCCTGCTAGTGTGGCTAAAAATAGTAATCAGTTGCTCTGTTAGTTAAATTTATTATACCATTATTTCTTTCAGTGATTCCCATTTCTGGCTTGCAACAATTTAAAGTGAACCAATTATGACCTCTAATCTCAGATCATGACATTAGCTGTGTAGAGTTCAACAAAGAGTGATTTTGTCTTATTTAAAGTAATTTTAGTGGCCTGAATAGGTAAAAATATCCCATATTTCACATTTTCTGTAACAGATATTTCTTTCTTATCCCTTTAATCATTTGGTGACCCCTCAAAATTATCTTGAGACCCTTGACCCTCAGGTTTGGAGCCAATCATTTATTCACCCTCATATCATATAGTCAAATATCTATTATACATATGCTATATATCATATCATATCTTGCATATATATGTGTACATATTATATATATATATATATTACAGTATGTATGTATGCAGACCTTGCACAGGCTGAATATATGACACATGTTTACATTATATCAATATTAATGTATAATATCTATGTGTATACATGTATATCTGTTCAGCCATCGTATTATATATACATATTATTATTATTATATTATTATAAATATTATTAATATTATCATTATTATACTGTTATTAACAATAACACTACCATCATGTCATCAGTACTATGACCACCATCTTGCAACTACAATCTACTATATCTTCCTAACTTCCCAGTTTTTGATGAACGGTTGTTGTATATGACTCTTAAAGTTGTCATACTAACGTGTTTCTTACTTCACCCCCTGAACATCAGTGCAAACAGAGCTGAGAATCACAACAATAAAGGTAGGTTATTTGTCTTTTGAGCCTATAATGTTGGTAAATACACAATTTAAGGTAAAACACATTTCACTGATTATCATTTGCAATATTTTCCTTTAGCAAGAGCCATATACGTTGTCCAAAGGCACACAGCTGGAGGGCTTTTGCATGGACCTGCTGTCTGAAGTAGCCAAGAAACTGGGCTTCAAGTACAAAGTACAGCTGGTGAAAGATGGCTCATACGGCAGACAGGATGAGAGCGGGAACTGGAATGGGATGATTGGAGAGGTGCTGAGAGGCGTGAGTACATGAAAACTGACATTTGGAGGGGTCCAAGGGCAGCAAACTACTCTGCGGAAGCTTGAATTACCCAGCTGGCATCTATGACTCACATCTGATACATTAAAAATAAGTGAACATATGGTGTGAACAATATCAGCAGGGTTGTTGGTATACTTAAAAATTCTCTTAAAGTAACTATTTAATCATCCCCTACAGGAGGCAGACCTTGCGATTGCTCCACTGACGCTCACTGCAGCTCGGGAGAAAGTGGTGGGGATGACCAAACCTTTCATGCAGACAGGAGTCAGCATCCTGCTGAGGAAGGACATCTCTGAGGAAACAGGCTTCTTTGATTTCCTGTCCCCCTTTACAGCCGAGACTTGGGTCGGCATACTCATTGCATACTTAGGGACAGCTGTTTGCATCTTTATAGTTGCCAGGTTGGTGATGCAAGTAGTTTCTAGTTTTTTAAAGTGAATGTGTTATGTTTATTGATGTGCTGTGGTTTTAAATATGAATTTATACTTCATTGTCTGTGTATACTTTCACATTTCTGCTGGCAGTATAAATCCTTTGAGTGCAGTGCAGTCGCTTTAATAAGTAAAATTTTTATGCAAATGCAGACTCAGCCCATGTGAATGGAGTCAGCCTCAGAGTGAACAGAACAGATTCAGCCTCCTCCACAGCCTGTGGTACACAGCTGGAGCTCTGACTCTACAAGGTAAACAGCAAAACCAGATACTTTGTATGCCACCAAAGAGAGAAGACAATCTGTACCCTTAATAAATGTACTGATTTGTTTCTTTTCTGGTAATTCTTGTTGTCAGGTGCTGGTCCTCACCCCAAAGCTCTTTCAGGACGTGTAATCTGCTGCAGTTGGTGGTTATTTTCTGTTTTCCTCCTGGCTTGTTACTTCTCCAACCTCAACTCCTCTAAGACCACTGACTCCTCTCACCTGACGGTGAAAGGGTTTGATGACTTGGCCAGTCAGGACATGATTGAGTACGGCTGTTTGGCTGGCTCTTCCACCCTTGCCTTCTTCAAGGTACAGACATTAGATCACTTATGGATCCCCCACATCTCACTGCTGTTTCTCTAATTCTGTTTTTCCTTCATCCAGAATTCAAACAATCCGGTATACCGCAGAATCTATGAACACATGGAGAGAACTAAGAGTTTTGTGTCATCTATGGATGAAGGGGTGCGGCGTGCAAAAGAGGGAAACTTTGCCTTTATTGGAGAGTCTGTGTCTTTGGACTTGGCGGTAGCACGGCATTGTGAACTGGTCAGAGCACATGAAGTTGTTGGCATGAGGGGATACAGCATTGCTGCCGCCCTTGGTGAGGCTTCTCATTTTGAAAACTCATTAAGCAATGACATTTCACAAAAAATTCAAATGGTATTATTAACATCATCATTTTTTTCCACAAGGCTCACCCATCATAAAGAACCTCAGTGTGGCAATCCTTCAACTGAGCGAGGCAGGGGAGCTGGCTTACCTGCGAAGCAAGTGGTGGGCCAGCAGCTGCATAGCAGACAAGGCCAAGTCTTCTGCTGTGCAGACGCACAGCCTCAAGGGGATCTTTCTGGTTCTTTCCCTTGGCCTGGGGCTGGGAACACTGTTGGCTGTCCTGGAGCTCACCTCCAAGAGCCGCAGAAGTGCAGCTGAGCAGAGGGTATGAACAAGTGCATTCACAAATCATAAAACTTGTGACAGGTGAAAAAAAATCCATCTCCAAAGTATTAGCTTTTCAGACTCTAAACCAAATCACCTTGCTTTTTCCTCCACAATGAGACTGTTTCATAGGCCTGAAGGCTGCAACCATTTGAAGAAAACACAGTTACAGTTAAAAGCAACCCTGTCATTTATCTACCAGTGGACCCTTTTCTCAGCAGACATTAAATAGTAGGGTAAACACAGGTATTACCAATGATACTAATTAAGGCTCTGTTCCACTCAGGTCAAACAGAGTAGGTTTGCTGCTAATGTGCATGTTGGCTCACTGGAAAGAATCTGCTACTCTAAAAGGAGCAGAACCTTAAATTGTATCATGTGTTGGGATTGGTAAAGTGAAAAAGGTATATTGGTTTGCACATCAGCTGTAGAACATCAAAATGCAGAGGACACAGCCAGACTCAGACGGTTGTGCTCACTCACCCACTCAACCATGTTTACATTAAATTCATCAACATATTAATGCATTGATTTGTTTCACTCCCACAGAAATCCTGCTGCACTGTGCTGACTGAAGAACTGAGTCTGCGCTTGAGGACCAGCAATGCACCCCAGGAAAATGTAGACAAAGATAAAGAAAAAGCATAGAAACATCAAGTCTGAAAATGCAACTTTTAGCTTGTTTTAGCTGTTTCTGAATTTTATCATAATATTTAACAGAAAAATTAACTTATTTTCTTCTTACTTGTAAAGATGCATTAGATTAAAAAGAAAAAAACATTAAAGTTTGAAATAAAAAAACTCACATTTTATTAAAATAATCAATTTATTGTTTTTTAGGTACGAACACTACAGTGTCAATGAAAAAGCAAACATTATAGTTTAAATATTATAAAAATAATTATTAAAATGATCAATGTTTACACTTAAGAACTGAACATTTGACTAACAAACTGTGTACTTCTAAGTTTACTGTTACTTTTTTTATGACTGCATCTTGCTGTTTTGTACAGTTGGCAATGGCATCACGTCAGGATTTGAACAATTTTCTTTTTAAAAACTATTTCATGCATAAAAACTGTTGATTGTAAACATCACAGCAGGCCTAAAATAATAAAAACTGTCTAATTGTGAAATTCTACGTTGTGTTTTCCCGTTTATCTGGAAAATAAAATCAGAACTACTTTGTGACTCAGCCCCCCTTCATCATCCTCCCACATCTCCTTTTTGTGGTTGTGTTGTTACTCTTTTTCTTCATCTTCTGACTTACGTTTGTTGTCTTTGGAGGCACAAATCTAAACTGTGGTCTAATCTAAAAACAGTAAAAACAAAATCCATTATTTAATGCAGCCACTTAACCTTTGTACCATCAGTTCTTTTTATCATCACATCATCAATGACTCACCATCTAGAAAAAGTGGCGATTTACAGCGGATCTCTCTCATCCTCTGGTCAAAAAGAGCCTTCATCTCCCTCTGCAGGGTGCCCTCGCGTTGCTCTGCCCCGGCTGGCACACAGGAGGCCGCAAACTCCAGGCTGTCAGTACTGCCGTCACTGCTGTTGGATGTGCTGTCAGACAGGCAGAGGCCATTGGGAATGCGCCTCACCTGGCTGCCGTAGCTGCCACAGTTTTGTACTCGCTGTGTCTGCCAGTTCAAAGTTGGCTTACGGTTCACCATCGGTGTCTGAGTAGAGGTAGTCTGTTTCCGAGGGCAACTGCGTGAGCGGACCTTTGTTCGTATTGGTGTAGGCGGTCGTGGGGTGGCTGGGGCCTCTAAGGTCCGTCTCACCCTGGCAGGGGACGATGGGGGGATAAGTGGATAAGATTTGGCTTCAGGCTGGAGCAGAGGTTGTGGCACGGGCTGAGGCTGAGGGAGTGAATCGGTCTGACTCTGAGTTTCTGGTGGTTGCTCAGGTTCAATGGCAACATTGTTGTCTGGCTGTGGTTCTTTTGGTAATTCTTCAGATTGTTCAGGCTGCTTTGGTTCAAATGTCTGAACTGTCTCCTGCTCAGAACAGTTTGACTCTGGTGATTCATCAGGTTCATTCTCAAGCTCTTCTTCAATTAGATTTTGGCTGTCAGGAGCAGGATCATCAGGACACGAAGCCTGGGGAGAGGTCTCAAGGTCAAAACTATCTGCTTTCGCACAGGGAGCAGCCCCCATGTGGTGGGAGTCAGTGGAAGACATCCGGCTGAAGATCCCTCTTCTTGTCTCTGGTGGTTCATGAATTTTAACTTTGTGAGCTCGCTTCACTGGCTCACTCATGGCCCCTTTGTGGATGGCAGCCTTGGCTGCTGGCCCTTGTGCTAGAGGAGACATTTCCCAATTCCTGCTGTCCTGAGAGATGGCATCCAGATCTTTGCGGAAGTGCAGAGCACGCCCGTCTTCTGAGGACATGACAGAGAAGTCAAAAGACGGATGCCTTTGATGACCCTTCATATGCTTCTGGGCTGCTTTTTGGATGTGTTTTCTGGCTGCTTGCACTGCATTTGTGGGTTTGTTCTGTTTTACAAAGGACACCAAAGGTTTTAAGATAGAGTTCTAGCTGAAATTTGATTTGTGAGATTATTCAGAGTAGCTTACCTTTCCTGTCACGTCATTGATAGCAACATGAACAAAGATCGATGACTCCGCCATCCCCTCCAGGTACACATGTCGATAACCTACAAATTTTGCATTAAAAAAATCATCTTAACCTACATTTCATCCTAAAAGAACAGTTCAATATCTTGGGAAATGTGCTTATTTGCTTTCTTGTTGGTATTTTTCTAATTAACAACTTCTGTGTCATGTATTTGATAAAAACTGAAGTGTAGGAACAACAAGTTGCGGTTTTTATGAACGGTTATGTGTGAGACTATTTCTTGGCCAGGTGTATCAACTTCCTTGAGTGTTCTCGTCACGTGAGACTCCAGGAAGTTACTACAAGTATAACTTGCAAACTAATGAGTTTTAGAGGTGCTGGTAGGCAGAGCCAGGCTAGCTGTTCCCCACTGTTTCTAGTGTTTATGCTAAGCTAGGCTTAAGACATTCCTCTTTGATAAAGCTTATAGTTAGGGCTGGATCAGGTGAGTCCTGAACCATCCCTTAGTTATGCTGCTATAGGCCTAGACTATCGGGGGATTTTCCATGGTGCACTGAGCTCCTCCCTTCCTCTCTCTTTATGCACTCATTCATGTCCCATTAATGCATGTTGCTAACTCCACTTCTTCCCCGGAGTTCTTGTGCTTTCTCGTCTCGCAGGTTCTCATGGATCCTGGTGGAGCCTCCTGCCATGGTCCTGCTTGACTGCCATTGCCAATACTGTTGTTGCTGTGCACCTGTCTGTCTGTCTGTCTCTCTCTCTCTCTCTCTCTGCCTCTCTCTCTCGCTCTCTCTCTCTCTCTCTCTCTCTCTCTCACCCCAACTGGTCGAGACAGACGACCACCCACCTAGAGCCGGAGGATCTGTCCTAGGTTTCTGCCTTTTAACAGGCAGTTTTTCCTTGCCCTTGTTGCCAAGTGCTTGCTCATGGTGGTACTGTTGGGTCTCTGTAATTAATGTTAAAGAGTTCGGTCTAGACCTGCTCTATTTGAAAAGTGTCCTGAGATAACTTCTGTTATGAATTGGCGCTATACAAATAAAATTGAATTGAATTGAATTGAATTAAGCTAAGCTATCAGGCTGCTAGCTGAAGCCTTTTTGATCTGATGAACATGAGAGTGGAAACATTTCTTTGATGTATTTTTCTGTAATTTCCCTCGTTAGAGAAGATATTTTGAAAAAACCTCAAACACAGCAGTTTTGCATATCATGTAATCTACCTGGCATCATACTAGGGAAAGCAACAGTCCTCTGTCCGATGAAATCTCGTCCAATAGGATCATGATCCCACACTTGGAAACGCACTAGGGCGATCTGCGGCATTTGAATGTTGAAGACGAGAGTTTCCTCCCACATTGGGTTGAACCCTGAATGACAGTAGAAGGAAAGTTACAGACAGTCGACTGTCTCTTATGAGATTTGTATTACAAGATGTACTTCGTGCACACATACCGTTATCATCCACCACCCTCGTCTGCTGCTTGGAACAATCAATAGGTAGGCCGATAATCTCAACCTCAACAAAGGGATCAATAATCTGGAAAGTACAAAAACATGAGCAAAAACAGCATTTTAGTGATGATAAATATATTTCACGTGTCTCAATAATAGATCATGTCTGCTATCATATGTTGGCCTTACCTCTCCTCTGTCTCCAAACATGGAGTCTTTGGGTTTGGGAAGCTGCTGTCCACTGATGATCTTCAGCACTAACTGAGTCTTTCTGTGTCCTGGAAGAGGATCCTCCAACATGGGGTTAAAGGCAGCTGAGAAGAACAAAGGAAACTGATTAATCCAATAAGAAAGGATAGTTGCTATTAACTCTACACAATCTGCATATACGCATACCTTTACACATGCACTTAGGCTTCAGAATATATCCACAGTTTCCGTTGGTTGAGAACTTGGCTTGGTTCAGTTCAAGCATACGGCCCTCTGTTTGATAATTCATTGCAACTAAAAGGAAAGCCAAAATAGTATTAGACATTGTATGTTTCTAAAAGTAGACAGTATTCAATTTTGTATTTGTATAACAGCAGATCATATCAGAAGTAATCTCAGGAGACTTTTCAAAATATAATTTGTACTTTTTATAAAAGTCTTTACAGAGACCCAACAATTCCCACCATGAGCAAGCGACAGTGGCAAAGGAAAAACAAACTTTTAAGAGGGAGAAACCTCGACTAGTTGACAGTGTTGCCCTCTCCGTGACAGTCTTACCCATATGGCATCCTGCATTCCAGTATGGCTGTGGGTTGAAGTTGCTCGAGTCAACTCTGTAATTGGATGGGTAGACTCTTAAAAGTTGCCGTTGGGTGAAACGGACCAACTGTCCTGGCTTTAACTGTAAGATCTGGTTCATAACAGTCTCGTTGAGGGATGATACCTGCCAACTGTTCACTAATGCTGTCAGACAGAAAAGAAAGACAGCATCAAACATCCATTCAAACTGTAAGTTTTTGTATGTAATAAAAATATTCAAAGATTTCAGGTTTAATGTTTGAAGACCCTTTACCTTGTGTTTCTATGTCATGCACACGGACAGATTTTGTGTACTTGACCTGGTCAGACAGAGCTCGGGACAACCTCATTGTTTTCCTCTTCCTGAAGGGAGAGTTACAGACATACAGTACAAGTGTAACCATATATATTTAATGACTCAAACTACTTTGCTAATTCAACGACTAGCCTTACTTGGGATGGTAAACAATTTGTGTCCTCTCCCTGCTGCTGCTGTGGTCTGACTCGCCATCAGACATCGCCTTATTTTTCATTCTGAATCTCTTTTTCCTCTGAAAAAAAAGAGCAGTCGCCTCCATGTTTTCAGGTTTTCCTCTGCACAATCTGTCTAAACCAGTCAAAGTCTGGTGGCAGGGAAAGTGTACAACAAGTCGAAGGGCCAAATAAAAATATGTTGAGAAAATAAGGATGGACCTTTCGTTTGAAGCTCCTCATGATCGATCTTCCAAATCGCCTCTTCTTTTTGATTGGATTGGCAAAAGTAACACTATTCCCATCCTAAAAGAGTCAAACAAAATGCGTAATTATACTATCTATCTATCTATCTATCTATCTATCTATCTATCTATCTATCTATCTATCTATCTATCTATCTATCTATCTATCTATCTATCTATCTTTTAAGGTTTAATTTGCCTGTGTGTTATCCTCATCCTCCTCGTCATCTTCCTCCTCTTCCTCATCACCAGTGTCTTCATCAGACACGTCACCCTCCTCTGCATCAGGATCTAGGTTCGCTGGCAGCTTTTTTCCCTGGAAAAGGAGAATTAATGAGT